TGCATTATTACTTGTTGAGTAATTTAAATTTGATCTCACTTCTATTGATTGTTGTATACTTTTGGTAGGTTAGTGTATATTTTATTAATCCATATCAACTTATCAGTAGTCCATCTGACAGACAGATGGTAAAAGCAAGGAAAAACAATTATTACGCGTATATATAACTGAAATAATATCATCTAAACAAGCGTGTTTGAGATAATAAGAAAACGCATCGAATGCATGTCAATATCTTAATACACATAATCTCCGTTATCTAATAGAATGTTATTAGTTTGCTTTTCCGTCGGCTTGTTGTATGTATATTAATATGTACATGATTCCATTAAACTATATTATTTTTTTTCCTCTCACCATTTCCCACTCCCTTTTTTCTCATAAACTGACTTGTTCGACATATGTAGCAATATTTGCCTATTGAAAAAGGATCTTATCGGCCCGGCCGACTTGGTCGTAAGCATTTTGCAGTCTCTAGTACTCGGTGGTACAATGTCCTTCACTCACGCCCCCAACATATTAATATCATACTAAGTGCGTCTTGAGTCCAAAACAACTTGATCTCGAGTTTGAAATGCTGGGCCTCAGCACCAGCCACACAATCAACAAGTTCGTCAACTACAAAGGGTGAATATAGAACAGGCTGAGTTTCGGCAGCCATGGAAGTCTTCTCCAAATATCAACGCCGACGTGGGAGTCACAAATGGAGCATCAAAAACAATTTAGCTTTCAACATATTGGAACTACAGAAGCAGCAGCAACGATACCAACACCAGCAACAACACTGTTTGTAAAAACTACAATCATAGTACGCAAACATCTCTACAATTAACATTATCAAATTATGTGAAAACTTTGATTCCCATTTCAACATAAACACGATATGACGATGAAAAATCTGAAGCCTAGGACTGGTATTTGTCAGGGCCGTAAAATATGTTTACGTTCAGTGTTGACTCAGTAGAGAGAAGGGAGTGAGCAGGCGGTCGGATTAGAGGTAGGCGGATTAATGGTAAGCAATTGAATAAATTGAATCACCAGCATTAAGAAGACGATCCAATTGATTTACGCTTGTTACTATACGAGTTTCGTTAAATAAATTCCGACCGAAATCGAAATTTCTCTCCTTCGTCAATGAATCGTTCCGACATCAGACTATCCACATGTCGTTGCATTCACCGAACGAAGAGTTGATTGCACGATTAGATGGATAAACATAAGAGTTCAATGTTAGGTTGATTCGATGGCAAGAATTAGTTACATATAACGTCATTATTACTTACATGAAAACCGCGCAAAGATCCAGTCTTTGCCAGAACAACAACTCCACCGCATCCTTGCTTACGTAGTGATTAAAACAGCTTAATAACATTCTATATCCATAAGCAGTCGCTTTTACACCTTCGCCACTCGTCATACAAACCACTATTGCCTCTCTTCGCTCGACGTTGTGAATGATCCGTTTTGGCACTTACCCTCAAATTTAAGTTTACTCGCACCTTCCTGCGAAGGCTGAGCAATTTAACTTTATAATGGAGGGAGTAATTCATTCTTGGGTAGTACTCGATTCGCTTAGACCCCGGTTAATGGAGTATACCAACGTTTTTCATTGTAGAATACAAGATTCTCTGATATGATGCATACAGGAATATTCAATGGAAAATCCGCTTTTTTTATTTTATAAATAGATAATGATCACTTTGTCAGGAAGTAGATAATGTTGATCTATAAATATGCTCCTATAATTGTCATAAGCTATTTTGGAAAGCAAAGTAACTGAATTCTATAATTTTACCAGTATCAATAAATTTTAATAAACCTATTTTTATATTGACAGCTTTATTAGAAATCTTTAAAACTCTTAAAACTACATTTTCTTATTTATACAATTTTAAAAGTTTAGAAATAATAATGTTGTGAGTTTAAAATTTTTCATTAAGAATATAATGTCAAACATTAAAAATGATATATATTTAAGCTGTAAGCCATGCGTCGACTTCTGGCTTTAGACGCGCCCCCCCCTCTCTTTCTCCCATTCTCTCCCAGTTATGAAGAGATCCCCACCAGGCTTCTTTTTCACATCCCGTGCTTCTTGAGTTTGCAAAAAAAATTGTCCGCTGCTGCCGTAATAGTAAATTTCTTCATTATCCGAGCCAGTGACTGTAGTTCGTCAGAATGTTGGTCGTCGTCAACGTATAACGGATGCTCGGTAAAGCGGAAGCAATGTGCACAAGGCAGAGGGCATAGTGTCATCAAGACAATTTGATGATTTGGTTTAAATTGAATTTTTGTATGAGAAGATTGTGTGATATTATATAACAACGTTTTGTTTGGTGAAGACATTTTTGACGATGAATCTCTCACTGCCACGAAAGGACGCTATTTTATAAGAAAATTTTTTACGTCTTCTGTTCGCATACTAGACCAATCGATTGATCAATCATGTATAGATTATGGTTGGAGATCCCCGATAGGAGCTGCAAGGCAGATAATGCCAGTCTCTTTTTTCGGCCTTCAATGGCATGACTTGCGACTTGAATATGGAATATTATTCGGCCATTTATTCGTCACCTGTTCATTTGTGCATATTGATAAGACAGCACTGAATAGATTATCACGCCATCCTCGGGGGTTCAAATTTAATATTGATTTAACTTGGCAAAAAAAGAAGAAAAAGAAAGCGAGTCGAAGTTTTACTCTGTCAAATGTAACACTGTCAATCATGAAGCAGGGTGCAGGGTATTATAACATGCGGAGATGTACGCGAATGGTAGAAATGCTAAAATGGTAAACAATCAGCTGATTATGATCCCAAACGAAAAAGATTTTGAAAGGCACACAAAAATTTTAAACAGTGTATCAAGGCGATTACACATTAAGTCTTACATCAAATTTGCAGAGAAGCGCATATGACGTCAAAAAGTAAAATGAAAATAATTATTAAAAATACAGCCACCAATTCAAACTTCGGAAGACATTTAACAATTATTTGTCATCCCACATAATTACCAAATATTTACAGTAATGGTGGAAATATATTATGTATAGATTAACCGGACATTCTTTTAGTTTTGTTATTTATTATTGCAGCAGGGGCGTCTTTCTATCACATGCAGGAGTATTTGATGATTTTAACACAATGTATATGGCAGTGCCCCAATTTATAGCCTGGATGGATTTACATATGTCTCCTTAAAGTGACTGCGATTGCACAAGCTGTACGTCTCCCGTAGATCAAACTCCTCTTACTCCTGAGCTACGACTTTAATCAAACATTTCAATAAAACGGATTTAATAGCGTTTGACAGACTGGACTATTTGACAACCGTCAATTATTGCTTAATAGTAAATCATGATTATAATATTCGCCTTTATATAAATCTAGTTTTCTTATAATGTCTATGTTATTACATTGTTATCTGATTATTTTGTCTAAGGTTGTTACGCGATATAAGAAAGTGATTAGGACCTATAGTAGAATCTTAGAATCTTTCTTATACCGAGATAGTTTCATATAGACTATTTTTTAGACCAACTTTCTTATATCAAATTTTAATTAGTGTTTCTTATATCGAGAGCTTGTGTCGAGTTTCACTTGTATTAATATATTAATATTTATGTTACAAATTTACACTTCCACTTGTGCAGTACTTCAAGCCTAATTTTTTTTAGTAGCGTCCAATTGTTTTGATGGATGCAGAGTTTTCAACACAAGCTTGTATACACAATTTTTTTAACTTTAACATGCATCAATGAAGCTGACAGACTTACACTTGTTAGATAAAGTTCACTCATACGCCTCTGTGGGTAAATATCTTCTATTTAGTACGTTTGGAAATAAATTATTTAAGCATTTGATTGAACACTACTATGAAACCACTGTAAAGTGTTCAAAGTGTTTGACTGTAAATTGTTCAGACAGGTCTTGATAGCAAGTTAGGCCTTCCAACCGATAGATTTCCAGTTTGAGATAATTTTGTATTAAAAATTGTTGCAGAATTTGATCATCAATTACCCAGACAAAGGTTAATGACTGGCAAATTGTTTTGATTTCAAAATATATAATTGATATTATTCTACAATTATTTATTACGCAAAAAATGTTGCCAATGTAAATGGCTTACTGGTCAGTAGGTTACATTTTCATGCTTGCTCTAATAAACCAATTAAAGCAAATTTTAAGGCAATTGTTAGGGTTTACTTTCCATGTAAAAAAATATACATCAGTATAAAGAAGGAATTTTTATAAGTATTGAATTGTAATATGCTAGTAATGTATATAATTTTTTTAATAGCGTATATTACGTCGAGCAGGCAGTCATTAATTATAAATGGTATATAAAAAGCTGTAATCGACTAACATATACCTACGAAAAAAATGCTCAAGAGTTTACATGTGATTCACGGATAGCGGATAATAATATGCCGCACGGAGGAGGCTGAAGCGTTATTCAAAGAGATGTGTAATAGGATAGCAATAATAAACACTTTTTTGGTATGAATGAACGCATTCCGCATAATAATAGAAGATTATCAACAGCGTACGAAAAGATTTCTTGATATTGGTATTCCATAAAGAATACGGAATCTTTGTATAAATAGTCAATTATACATTGTCGCTCTCCAATAATAACAGACACTACTAATTTTTATACAATGCTGATAATATATATAATAGATAAGTGCAACGTATACACTATATATCGTTACTATAAACTTCGTAACAACGTACAATTAATTGATTTTGCAATAGAGCATATATTTTATCAGTATTGTAATAAAAAACTTTGATATCGTTTATCCGTTACTAGTACAGTATATTTTAGTGTAAAATATATATTTTATTTATGCAAAATTACTTACAATAAAATATACATCGTTGTTATTATTATAATATATTCAAGTTACAGGTATTTTATGCGGAATCATCTAAATCAAGTTACATATTTTATGCGGAATCATCTAAATCAATCTCCCGATACTTTTTTCTATCTATCTGAATACACCACAAGTTCCCCTGACCACTTCCCTTCCTATCGTGAGCCTGCACATCAACATTGGCCCATATTATTTCCCCCACTTCCCAATGTCCATAGTAATAGTAAATTTTACTGCGTCATCCACCTGGCTGAATACATTTACCACTGCCCAAACGTAAGCAATCCGAGATGGATAGGGTTAGGATTAGGGTTAGGGTTAGGGTTAGGGTCAGGGCTCGCCGTAATAAATTTGTAGGCGAGTTCCGCCTGAAGCGTGGATTCGTTTTGACCGGCCCGGTTAAAACCGCTAGTGGCTGACTGCCCGAAATCGCAAGCCGCCGTAATAAATTCCATTCGGAAACGTAGTGTCGTTGACCCGTCCAGTTAGACCCGTCACAAATTGTATGGAGCGGAGGAGGGTAAATTTTACTCGGTTCTTGGCAGGCCTGAGACGGAGGTGGTGACAAAAAGCGTTGTAGGAAGACTTTGGATGGTTGGAAGTTCATTTTGGTTTTTGGGTGTTTGAACTTTCTAATGGCGCGGATGAAGGGTTATTTTATATGACCCTGTTCTCTACCCACTGAATGAATTGAGATAAGACGCTGATATCAAATACGTGCAGACAATGTCATGGGTCTATCTTTTATTGGTAATCACTGTGTTTTATTGTTGCACATTGCGTGGCACATCCGCTGTCTTCTACTATTTTGGTTAGATTTACATATTGCATAGAACTTCGCAATTATCACGAAATCATTCTGAAAATGTTACTTTGAAGATGTAAAAAAAAAGGTGCAGATTATATAACAGTGAAAGTATATCGGATCTGGATAAGCCACAATCTTTCTGTAACTTAACAAAAAAAAACCAACTTTTTAAATTTCTCCGTTACTACTGCACTATCAACTGCTCTAGCTTGATGTAGCTTGATGGATCTATTCTATCGGTGAACAAGTTTTCGACGTTGTTAAAGATAGGGGAATAATCGTTTCTACAAATTTGCACATAACAAAGCCTTTAGCTGCGAAAATGAATATGTAAAGAAGATGCTTGAGAGCTTTCATAGATATATATGTATCATTTGTACGACAAACTCGACTATGCGCCATCGTACGAAGAACATAACGGAACAGGGACAAGGTCTCAAGGCAGGGGATAAATCACACACAATGAGTATGACTTGCATTACAATCAAAATACCCAATTGGTTTTGAGGAACGACTAGATATAATCGACTCTTCGGTCATTAATATATTTTATAGTGATAGTAACGACTTTAATATCACGTGAGCAAAGGTATTATTATGTAATATACTTATACGACTCTTTCTAAATGCATTCGGCATAAGATCTCATGACAAGATTTTGTTATCTGTCATACTAATAACATTGATATCAAGTTATTATAAACGCAAGTGTATGCTCTACAACTACGCCTGTCCTACCAACACGCAACGCACTACTTGAAACATCATCAGTACATAGTATTTTGGGTTATCAAAAAGTGCTAAGCAGCATACATTTTAGCCGTCGTAGGTTAATTATTTTTATTTGCATATTGCAATATAATTAAAATTTAAGGTAAAATTGATCGACTACATAATTTCAAATTTAAAACTTAATATTATACGAATTGACAATTCTACAGTAAATTGTTATTTTTACAATCGTTCACTTACACCCCACCCGAACATTTAATACGCTTAGTTTTACACTACTAGTATCAATATTGAGATACAATTAGTCTTTTAACAGCAAATGTCTAGATTTTTAAAGCACCTCTCCTAACATTAATGTGATCTTATACTTACAAATAACGTTTTATTATTCTCCGTTATATTTTTTTCGTAGTTTGGTTATTTTATTTGGTATGCGGCATATACTAATATTGAGTTGAATCAAAACAAAAGCCTGTCAATTGGACAAGCAAAAAAAAATGTAACTCTATTAATATTAAATTTATTCTTTGCGCATGATGTGACAACTCAGATAGACTGGTTGAAGTTATAACTAAGTGCAGGGAATTTGACGTAATATAATTCCAAATTTGAATCTCGGAAGTTGTAGTTGTCTCAATATTGACTAATTATTCGGAATTGCTTTTGATTATTACATGTGTCCAAAATTTATTAAAAGCTTTTTTTTTTCAAAATATCTATTGCCATGTACAGTGTGTAACAAAAAAAATTGACCTCTATACATATAAAATTTAAAGCGCGTAGCTTCACAAATGAATGCAGAATTTTATGTTGGGATATTACGTCAGAAATAAGGAGAATGCTTGGCAGACGATGAAAATTTCAACAAGACAATGATCCGAAACATACTAGTCGTATTGCCAAAAAATTTCTTGATGAGACCTTCCCTAAAGTTTTGGATTGGCCAGCCAACAGCCCAGACTTCAACCCCATAGAAACCTATGGAGCATTGTCAAACACAATGTATACCAACAAATATTAGTGAGTTAAATCAGTATTTAGTTGATGAATGGGAAAAAATTCCAAATTCTATGTTGTCTAATCTTGTTTCATCAATGAATCATCGTTGCCAGATGATTATTAATGGCAATGGTGAAAGAATTAATTATTAATGTATTATAGTATATATATCAATAACAACCTTAGGTTTCAGGCTTTCAAACAAGCTATTATTCATAGAATTTTAGCAAATGTTTGTTGAGTTATCATAAAAAACTGGAGGTCAATTTTTTTTGTTACACACTGTATGCTGCGCAGGTGACAATGGTTTTCGTATGGTTAATAATTCGATTATGCGTTTTGAAAAAATAACTTGATGGAATGGCAGTATTTAATTACCACAAGACCGGGACCAAATCTGCAATATTGTCACTTATTTTGTTATCAAAAATGAATTGAGCAATTATGGTACAAAGAGTTTCGGTTGCCTGAGCTCTCCAGTGTGTATTAGCCTAATAAAGACCCAGTGATATTAGAAGAACACTTCTTCGCTAAATGTAGATGGGATATTGATAACAGCCAAGACTATTCAGTGAATTAAACTCTTGCGAATTATTACGCCTCAGTCCATTTACACCAGAATTCTCATTACGCGACATTTCCTCAACTCGTGTTGCGGAAACTAAATCTTAAGCTCATCCTTCACACTTCTGGTACTAAAATATAAATTTCTCAATTCTGATTAAACAAGAAAGAGACACCGAGTTATGTTGTATGCAAGTATTCCCAAAGTACATCAACTATACATATGATTAATTTCTTTGGCAACCTCTACAGTACTAAAAGCAATCATTTCAACTTTTTCATCACCAACGTCTACTCATTTCAAGGATCTGAATCCTTGTTAGATATAACTACTGATAAAATAATAAACCTACGTAATTTTCTGTTGACAACTTTATTAATTTATGGTGTAAAGTACGAAGGATCTCTCACTACAAAAACAACTTGTCCAATTTGTTTTGTTGACGCGGAGAATTAGTGCTACATGTTTAACGTGGTAACCTCAAGGTAAAATTCTTTTTAGTTTTCAAAAACTTTGTTAGGACAAAAGCGCAGATTCTCAAGTTTACGTTTATCCAAAAATATGCGCTTCTGTGAAAGTCAAGCGGTTGTCCTAAAATTTTTATAGTAAAATTTGGCAATCTAAAAATGCATTGGAGTGAAAAGAACTTTTTAACTGCTGGTGTTGACGAGGCGGGTCGGGAGGTTAGGGGCTTATCTGCAAAAAATTTCGTCAAATGAATTGTAATTGTTTTTTAAAATATTAACATTGACAAGGAAAGAAGCGCACGTTAAGTTAAATATATCATATTATCTTCCACTTATAGTCATTATTTCAGTCAAACATCCCGTTATCAGGAATAATTTAAAAGAACCAGTGAATTGAGTATCACAAAACCCAAAACTCCAAGTATGTTATTATATGCACATTAAGACAAATACGTAATTTAATAGCTTTCGACATGGTTTCTAATGCGACGTATTTATTTAATTCACTTTGCCAGTATGATTGCTAATAGCAATTGAAAACTTTATTCTCGATGAGACCGATACCGCTTAATATTAACTGCAAAGACCCGTACTAAACCATGATTCGGCTTCTGATAACTCAGACATTACTTCGAATTTTTTTCTTATTCCGTTGCGACAATCGCGTAATTTTAACATGATCACGTGCCAACAATTAGATCGCAATTGATGCGACTAACGATTTTCGCGTCGCCTGCTGATCAAAACAAACTTGTTTATTATTATTATTATTATTGTCGTCGCGTAAGGCGTGCGTGGTGGGGACGGTACGCAGCGATAGATAGCACTCGAACTGAATGGAGAGAGAAGCTTTCTGTTAAAATCGATTTCAGCTACGCGACGTGACTCCTTCCTCAGTCTCGGCCACAGGGTCTTCTATGTAAACAAATAACGCTATTTAGACCTTTATCCTTCCCTTTCCCCCTCAAAAATTTTGGGCTTGGCTTTTTTTTTTTCCTTAACGAAAGGATCATTCAGATACCGAATGGACAATTTGTTTATTTAATACATGCTTTTTAAAATACATTTATTCTCCAAAAAGCTATTCAAACGCCCAAAAAGCCATTGGAAGGCAACGTTCGCCTGGCTTATAGTTGTATTGACACACGCACACACATTACGCCCCACACATGCCTCCCCGAATGCCATCGGGCAAGCCTCCCCTCCCTAGAACCTTATTCTTCGGCTTAGTGGGAGGACGAAAATTCTGTGGAGAAAAATAATGTCAGCTGTCAGCAATCCTGAAGAAGCAACCCCGTCCGGTTATCATACCGACCTGGAACTTAACAGTCCATATGACTGCCAACAGCAGCAAGCAGCATTTTTGTTGTTCCATTCAATTCTGCTTGCTGCCTTTCGAAGGTTGGTTCAATTGGGCTTCAATTAGATTCGGCTTTCGCGTCATTTATTAAACCCTGGTGGCTAATTATTTTCAAATTATCTAGTAATGATAGATATTTATTATTATTTGCTTGTGACTGGGGCAAAAAATTTCAAGTCGTCCAAAGTCACGATAATAACAAGATTCAGTTAAATCACCTGGCCAAAAAAATTTTAAAATAGAGATTAGACGCGATATCCAACAACAGCGCCAACAACCCTGCCGCGAGTAGTACTGTAGTAGTGTTAGAAGCTAATTCACGTGATGGCTCTGTTCGGGGTTTACAAGTAGCGTATCTTCTCCATTACCATTGTAATAACAAAAATTATGTATATTTAGAATCATAATTTATTACCATCGGACAATTGTTATGTATTTTACTTACTTAATATGCTATAAATAAAAAATGTTGGTGATTCAAGTCTTCCAATGAGTATCTTTTTGATAAGTCATTAATATATATACAAGATTCGGAGTGAACTGTGATTTGCTTGTTAAATATAGATATTTCCATTGTAAAGCGAATATTATTCTAGAGGTTTAAACTTCAATCGTACATCATGACAGTCAACCGTTCCGTTCTATCACACGAATTGGGTTTAATATTAAGTCTGGGTTGTCCGTAGCGGATTGAGGGTGATATTACAATACGTCATCTACTTGTATTTCTTACTTGGCTTTCTCCACACACTTGTAAGGCCCTTCGCCAACCAATATTCTTTTCTCTGAATGTGTATATACCCCATTTGACATGATGCAATGCCGTCTGGATATGATTTATGTGCAATCAAAAGCTTTGTTACTCTTGCATGATTCAAATACAACAATTCTCTCGAAAAATGCCTTTATATCGTCCGTTTCTTGATTGTTGGACAAGCACGTAAACACACGGTCGTCGGCCTTGCAATAATCATTCTCCTCACCGTGTTGATGCATTTCAGTTTTGGCATATGCGTTCTGGCTATATAAAAGTAATTCGGAAAGTGCCGAGACAGTATGCGAGATGTCTTCTTGATCACAGTGAATTGTATGGTGCTGTAATGGTCAGGCAGAGTAACGAGTAACGATCCCAGATTTGAACCGGTCGGACCACCGACCGGGTTTGGGCAGTGTACGGCCTTCGGCAACGATCGCGCCCCACGTAAAGTATGTCAACAAATAGAAAAACCAAACTGAACAAAATAAACGTAAAAGATACAGTTAAACATAAATGCTGATGGCAATCAACTTGACAGATAACAGCACAACACGGCATAGAAAACATGCTGACATTTTGTTTATCAAAAGTAATCCAACTAGTAATAAACAGTTTAACAGATACATAAAAGCGCTGGACCGCCGTAACAGAATGATAAAGAACTTACCGTGTAAGCCGGCTGTTGCTGGTAGATGGTTTTATTGTTGTAATTCCATCGTGAATCCAAGGGGTTCTCATCCCAAAATTTAGACATATGCATTACAGCGTGATCTGGGAAAAGAGGAAAAGAGTTTCAGCAAAGTACCAAAACACATTACAAAAACCTCGAACCAAGTGCTCGAATTACCACGGGCGGCAGTGATGTCATTACTCGTATGAATCTGATCGCGGATCCACATAGCATCACCTTGAATATCCGAACATAGACGGAAAGGAAACGTAAAAAGAGGTCGACTAATGTCATATCTGTATTTACTCTCAAACTGGGGTCTGTGTATAGGGATCTCAGCGGAGCGGCCAAAGGTAATTCCCTCCAACGAACATGTCCGTTGCGCCATCAGTATCGACAAATGATTTCTCATTTGGAGAACGAGAAATGCTCTTAGCACGAGTACGGCGAGGGAATGAATGGTTAACTGGCCAGGAGGGTTGATTATCGACATGACCAGATTGCTTAAAGTTAGTGAATCCAGGCCCAGGTAGACGCTCTTGACCCCACCAATCACGATGTTTTTCTCGTGTTGAACTTGTTCTTCCTTTTCTTTGCGTCTTTGTTCCAGACGTTCTCGTTCATTGATGGTAGGATGACCAATGGCTACTGGGACTGGTAGAGTAGTCATTGGCTGCTTCACGCTGATGTCCGCAAGTCCGTTGCTCACCCCAAGGTCGAGGTTTGCAGTAAATGACTTTTGCCTGAGAAACTGTAGAAGACTCCTTGTTAGTATCCCTGTCTCGGATGCGCATAGACGCTGAACTATAATCACGAGGTTGTCGCTTGGTGAAACCGTCGTCAGAACCGAAACCAGAGTCTGTATCGCTACTATTCGTAATACTGTCGATGGGATGTTCGAGATTTTCAAAAAGAAACTTTACTTGAATCTTTCCATTATTAAAGTCTTTCTGTTTTGATGTTTTCTTTCTCTTTTTCGAGTCGAAGCAAGTCCTCATCGTCGTTGAAAATAACAGGAGCAGAGAAATTCATCTCTTCGAATTCCTCATCAACAGCATCGGACCACGACTGTTTCCGGTCGTGATTCTCATAGTTATCAGTAAGTGGTGTCTTACTAAAGTCAGAAGCTGTCCACTCCTTAGTAACGATAGCATCGCGACAAACAGTTACGATAAGTTCTTCGTCAACATCTTCCGAGAGCATCCTTTCTACCAAGTACTTGCACCAAACTTTCCATTCCTTATGCTGACACGGGACTCTTCGAAATCGGGCAACTTTTTCGGGCATATCGGAAACCGTTGCCTCAAGACGATTTTATCAAGTTAAAATTCTGCAAAGATTTGCATTCGGTCCCGTCCACTGTGAACGATGGTGCAAGAGATTCAAGAAAATGATGCCCAATGACCAAACGTCAGCCTGACACGGGTTGTACGTCTTGCGAACGGGATTACGACATTCTGAGTACAAATTACAAAGAGATTAATACGAAAAGTTATAATGAATAACATCATAAATCGCATTCGCGGGTGTACTTACCGTAGCTCATGTATAGACTCAATCTCGTCGGTAGCCAAGCCAAAGTCCGTCAGTTTCACATAAATACCATTTTTGCCATTTTTGCCCATTCTTCGTAATGAAATTCTCTGGTTTCAAATCGCGATGTGCAATATCGTTGTCATGGCAATGACCGACTGCCTCCAGGATTTGCTCAAAGACCTGTTTCACAACTTCGAGATGTACTCGTAAAGAGTAGTAGAGCTTTGCGATCGTATCCATTGCTGTTACTCTGCGTAAGCCAATAATATAGGTCTTGACCTTCGCAATAGCCAATCTCTTGTTTCGAACGAATAATTAAGTGTGACAAGATTCTCGCGCTTGACTCCACCAGAAGTCGTTGATGGAGTGTTGCCTGGCGTGGAATAATGAACAATATATTACATCAGTCAAAAGCAAGCAGTCAGAACAGCTAATATAATAAAGTATCTTACCTCATTTCTCTGCACTGACAAATGGTATTTGCTTGGATAAACATTTAAGAGCGTACAATTTATTATCCTTGTTACTGTGGACCATGTATACGATCCATTGCCCAAGGGCTATATCAATCTGTAAGTAACATCGTGAGAAGAGTCATGTATGGTAGATCCAAGCTCGAAAGGCATTACTGTTGGTGAGAATAGCGCTCGCAATATGTTCTGTAACAGAAACAGGTCTGATCGGAGTGGAATAAGACCTTTTAAACATCATTTCGTAATATATAATGTTCCTATGGATTAGACTGGCTAATTTGGATGTCGGACTGTTTGTTAATTACTCTTTTTCTGGGGGGTTTTGTATTTTTTGGGAGCAAAGATAAAATATTGATGTTTTGCTTGCTTCAAGAACCGGCTTGAGTTTGCTTCAAATGGACCGAAGTCCGGAAGGCTTGTCATAATGCAACGGTTGAGAATAAATCCGAGCTGACTCGTTTACACTGATAACGTTAGGAGAGAAACTTTTGTCGAATGCTTGCTGAGGGTTTTGTTACTGTCGATTTGTTGATTTTGCTGTCGTCCTGGTTGTGGTTGTGGTTGTGGTTGCAAAGATTGGTAGATAGTACTGATGAAACAGACTGCGAACCTCGAGACAATCAAGAAGCGTTTGATTAAAGGGAGATTATTAACCGTATTTCGAACATTCGGTTCATATAATATATCATTTTCCATTGATGGGAATGTTCCTTTGGGACAACTTGTAAATTTTTCGATAAATGCTAGTTACTGTATCCTTTTTAATGGGTCCCCCCTTTTTAATAGATGATTTTCACCCACCTATCAAAAATGAATTACGTCACCAAACTAGTCACGTCGATTGTTTATATCTCGCCCTCGCCACTATTTCAACCCACAACAAACTTTTATTTTGCGCGAGCCGCCCCAGGATATACGGGTACGTTTAAGCGCCTGGAAGAAAGGCCTCTCTCCTTGGTTTTGATAAATACAATCATACGAGTCGGATACAGTCATAAACGTTAACTTCTCAATAAAAGGTCTTTTCGCGGTCTGCCCTCCAATCTCCAGAGAGGAGGTAAATGGCTGGCCACCCTTACGGGAGCAACGAGAAGATATAATAATTTATAGCGTTGCTCCCGTTGCCAGAAACGTCTGCTGGCGACATGAGAAACGACCTTCGTGTCCGCCGGCGGTCGTGATGGAACACGGCTTTGGAATAAAAGATATTCCAGTAAGTACCATATAGCTTGATACTAATTATGGACTCTCAATCAATTTTAGTACCAGTTGTGCTTAATATCGCGCATTTATTCATTCTGTAGACCTGTTGGTTCACGTCGAATGTGAACCCGAAACGAGGACGGGGCGGTGGTGTTGCGTAAGTATCAACTTTGATTAGGAGTACGAGCTATTTTACGCGAATATTCAGTAATTAATACGCTATATCGTTTTAGATATTCCACACCACCGCATTCCCGTGTTTGAGCAATCAGTGCTCAAGAAGAAGTGCACGTCCACCATCGACGATGGACGTGCATTTCTTCCGAACGGTATCATAACGATACTATCGGAAATTGTAAGTATGATTTCAAATAATAATAATAATAATTGTCTTAATACGGTCTATATCTTTTCGCTAACATTATATCAATAAATAATTATTGGCGCAGAATCCGATATGATTGCCAGCAAGAGGCAATCTGGGGGCCCCCCGAACGGCCCATATTTTCTTCTCTTGCTTTTCGTTCGGGGGGGGGGGGGTGTGTTAAAAACATTATCATATGTTTCCCCCTTCTTATCGTCCGTTTCTTTTTTTTTATTTTTATTTTTATAAATTTATCCCATTTGTTTATCAAGCAGACGGGATAGATGTATAGAATGTCCCGCTCCCCCGCCCCTTTATGGTGGGAGGAAGAAATACATTGTTTCAATTTCAATTATTATTATAAATAGACGATACAATAATAAATTTATTATTACGATCATACTTAAGCCGATAATAAGAATATTATAATACATACGACGATACAATAATAAATTTCATCGAACACGAATTTCAAATGTAAATTTTATTCATCAGACGTCATTGAACGTAAATTTCATATGTAATCTATGCAGTATACGACTGGGAATTAGATGCACGCAGGTGTTCAACCGTTAGATAAGATTGTACATTATGATAGTCATATGCCTAATCTGGTATCCGTAGAGTGCTCGAGCATGTAGCCAGTGTCTGCGTATGAAATTCTGAACTAGGTATTTGGTATGATCGGTACAACCAACGCCTATGCAGACATCTACGACTTAAACGCCATCACCACACATCGGTTGAAGGGGGTCCAATCTGCATTTATTATCGCCATCGCGTGATCACCTGTTCTTCTCTTTATGATTCACACATTATCTGCGCTCGTGCGTGCTGGAGTCGAAAATGGAAACACGGAATCCATGCCGCAATCTGCATTTATTATAGACATCGCATGATCACCTGTTCTTCTCTCTATGGTTCACGCATCGTTTTGCGCGACACCAGCGCTCGTGCGCACGGGGTCGAAATGGAAACACAAAATACAAGCCGCAATCTACATTTATATCGGCATCGTGTTCTCTCTATAGATCAGTTGTACGCACTGGTGTCGATGATCATAAACACGGAGGGATTGGTGTGGAGATATGGCAATGGAAATAGAAAATACGGGATCCAAGCCGAATACAGTATAGTTCGAACACCTTTCGTCCACCTTTCTTCATGCTCACGGCGATGTTCTGATGAGTCGCCTTGACGGACGACAGAAAACTAGATGTCAAATATCTAGTCAAGGCGAAATTTTGTATGGCATTTTACTATAGCAGCTCTTATCATACTGAACGATCGGATGTATGTGTACTTATCACTTACATCCACGTACAAAATTGATCAGTCTTTATCTTCTCACTCAACTATCCTTTCACAATTGTCAATCTCCGCGACGTATCCGAAAATTCAAGCTTTATCAAAATCCTCAATCGACCGGGACATACCCTCAGGGACGTCCATCTCTTGAATACGAAAATGGAGATGAGAAAAGTACTTGAGTTTTGCAAACGTTGGAAAACAATTGATACGATCAACTAAGAATACCTTCATGAGAAGATCGAGATAATTCTGGAATGGGTCAAATGATGATTGACGAAGAGAGTGGATTGTGTTGTGTGGTGAGTGGTCATGGGCGAAAAGGTGGAGGCGGTCGTGTGCTAGTCAACTGGGTGAGCCAAAAGTGTATGTAAATAAAATCAAGTGTGAGGAATATTAATAAATAGAACGGGAACTCTGGATTGCAGTATCGGAATAATAAGACAATACCAGAGAAAATGTACAAGAGAACGTAGTTATTGCATGCATAAATGGCATTCGGCGTCGTAAATTCTCCAACTGAATAAACATATTAGGCGCGTTATTGTCTTCTTACCCATATCTTGCATCGATAGCAGATGCAGTGGAGCCAATTTAAATTCGCAGCGGACAGTCCCTGAGGAACAACAGGTATTACTTAACCGTGACTGCAGATAAGAAAATCGAAACGGAAATTATTGTAACATTTGGAAAATGTCTGTATAATGAATTCTCCTATTATCACTGATTGTCTGACACCCATCAACAATATCATTTCAGATGCTGACCGTACCTTCCGTTTCATAACTTTTAGGACCAGAGATTTTCTTGAATTCACGCGATTTGTCTGCGTAGAATCTTAAAAACGCGAATAGTTACAATATGCATTATTCCGACCAGACCAACGTTCCAACGTTGAATGACACGTGGAATCGAAGAAGACCACAAGTGGTGATGCAATGAAGCCTAGAAGATGGTTATAGTCGCCGTGGTAGGTTAAGATGTACGGGAAGATTGTTGAATATGTTATATTCGTGTAAAGTTGCTCATATTTCTTTGATACTGTCTAGACTGCCTGCACTTCAACGGAGTAACCAATCTTTATATTGAGTTTGATATTAACGTAAATGACGCAGTGTGTAGCTTCTTTAGTGGGGTTTATTTTTCGTGAGTAAAGATGGAGTTTGATTGTTAGGTGATGGCGGGATTAGGAATGGTAACCACATTAAGACAATCATTAGCCGCTACATACTGTATCATTGCAGTTGTTGCGCTGGAGGCGCCAACGACCTCTGCAAACGATTGTAGATTACGTATAGTCAGCGTCTGATGATATCATTAATTGATATCAGTAATAAAGCGAAACTCATAAATACCAATTTTATTTTCAGATATAACCGCATTTCAAATGTTCCTTTTCCGATTTGTTAAGGCGTTAACATTAGCGACTTGTTTTACTGTAACAATACACGTTAATTAACAAGAATACCAACAATTATCGTTTTCGCCTTCACCTCGCAGTAATGCGGACAATCACTGATATTCATTATCGGCTTTGATGATTAAAGCACGAATGTAAGTACATGATTAACACTGCTGTGTTCAAATATTTTACCCTGTTTGTGTTACATACCCGGCATCTGACCGCAGTAGACAGTAATATCAAATTGTGAGTTAGAAAGGACTCGCGTTTCTCTTGAAGAAATACCTTTATTGTCTCTACTATAATTTAGTTATCACTCAACCATTAACTAATACACACATATTTTTACACTCGACATCCCAAAAGTCAAGCACTCACGTGAATAGTTCATTTAATTATAGGTATTAGTATATTAACATTATATTTATGATGTACCACAACACATGCACTCACGCACAAAGGCTTTATCGCGTTGTTTGTCATTGAGATGCGACTAGTATACTACACCGGACTTTCCAGCTTTCCTAATTAATCCATCTGTTCTGATGTGCAACCATATAAAATACCTTATACGTGACGTGATGGGAATAGCGCCATTGAGACAACTTTGCTTTTCTTATAATCTGCCGAGTAAGTAAGATCTCGACTATTGTGAAAGGCTTTATTGTGTCACTGATAGCGTACCTATCTGTGAAAGCGGCAGATCAAAGAAAAACGCCATTGAACAAGGTTTGCCCTTACAATCAGCTGAGTAAACAAATCGTTATTGTAAGCACATTATCTATTCACAGATAGTGCAATTGCTTGTGAAAAAGCAACAAACGGAATAATAAAATGTCATTCAATCTATAAACAGCAAAAAAAGGCTTGGTTCGTCACAAAAAATTTATTAGATACTGATAACGTAAAAGTAATGAATGGAACGAAAAAGAAACGCCACTTTGCTTCAAAATTTATCTGCGGCGGACTTTATTGGTTCCATTGTAGATAATTGATAACGTAGTTGCTTGTGAAAAAGTAAAACTCCTCTGTGCAAGAGATAACATGATTCGTGTTTCAAAAGACTTTGTTCTGAGAAAAAAGCTATTTGAGCAGAAGTTTGTTTCGTGTTTGACTGATAACCTATACATTGCTAACACGAATGAGTACGCCCAACACATAAAAATGCAGGCAGCATAATAATGATTGCTGGGAACATAACAAAGGCTTATGCATCATTGTTATTATTCGCTTGACATCAAAAAAATTTTTTATTGTGTCTAATTTCCGATATAATGCAAGCTACGTAATTTGTATACATTCGTTTATTTTTAAAAATTCTGTACATAGCCACAAATCTGTCGTTTGGATTTCTTATAAAGCAGGCATCAATTTGCATCGTCAAAATCGTCCATCGTCTTGGTTGAAAACAAACTTAGACACTCTTTTAAAATCGCACTTTTCGTTTTTCGATATATGACGGCCATTTCGATAGACCTACGTTAGGATAAACTGCGAAGTGTTGCGGCCTGAGACAAAAACTGTTCGAGGTGTTTTAAAACTACCCATAGAGATTGATTCTTGAGCAGCATGTTTTGTTAAACTCTTGTTGAATTACCTTCATATCCTCTATTTGTATCCAAAAAGGACACTATAAATCCGTCATAGCAGTGCAATGGTCACCGCTATTTCATAATATGTTGGCCTCTGCAGGGTAGGTCAATTCGTAAATCTCTTCAACAGCATACTATGCTCTTTGCTCATGCATTCATTCATTTCCCAGAGAGGACGTTTTCGTAATCCCAACCATATGTCCCGTCTTTGTGCTGCCTTTTATGCCTCTTCACGAACTGCATTCGGTATGCTACAATGAATACATTTAATTGTATACTGTGTGTATGTACAGCCCCTCCAATAAATGACGGAGTGACACAAAATTTTAATAGTAAAACATATAAAAAGTCTTTGCTTTTAAAAATTTCTCCTGCTCTTGTGCACTATGTAAAGTGCAATAATTTTTGTATAGTTCTGAAGAAAAATAACAATAAAATTTTATAAGTTATCACTATTAAGCTGTAGCAAGTTGAAGCAGCTGTCTTTAAATCACAATATGAAAATATATGATTATATATGTACAGCACGTATACTCACACTTCGTACTTATAACAATAATTTATAAAATTGATTGTTATTATTTTCGAAAAGCATAAT